GAAGGCTTTCAATTGTGTGGATCATGACAAGCTATGGACAACATTATGAATTATGAGTATCCCAGAACACTTAATTGTGCTCATGAGGAACCTGTACATAGACCAAGAGGCAGTTGTTTGAACAGAACATGGCAACACTGAATGGTGTAATATTAGGAAAGGTGTGCAACAGGGTTGTATTCTTTCATCATACTTATTCAACAAGTATGCTGAGCAAATAATCCAAGAAGCTGGATTCTATGAAGAAAAACGTGGCATCAGAATTGGAAGAAGACTCATTAACAACCTGCAATATGCAGATGATATAACCTTGCTTGTTCAAAGTGAAGAGGACTTAAAATACTTGAAGATCAAAGACCACAACTTTCAGTATGGATTACATCTCAATGTAAAGAAAACAAAAATCCTCACCACTGGACCAATAAACAACATTCTTATCAACGGAGAAAAGATTGAAATTGTCAAGGACTTCATTCTTCTTGGATCAATTGTCAACACTCATGGAAGCAGCAGTCAAGAAATCAAACAGTATACAGCATTAGGTAAATCTGTTGCATAAGACCTTTTTAAAGTGTTGACGAGCCAAGATGTCAGCTTGAGGACTACGGTGTGCCTGATTCAAGCCATGGCATTATCAATAACCTCATATGCATGTGAAATTTGAACAGTGAATAAGGAAGATTGTAGAAGAATTGATGCATTTGAGTTATGGTGTTGGAGGACAGTATTTAAAGGTACCATGGGCTGCCAAAAGAACCAACAGATCTGTGTTGGACAAAGCACAGCCAGAGTGCTCCTTAGAAGCCAGGATGGCCAGACTTCATCTCTCATACTTCGGCTATATTATCAGGAGGGACCAGTCACTGGAGAAGGATATTATATTTGGTAAGCCAGAGGGTCAGAGGAAAACCCCCAATGAGATGGATTGGCAAAGGTGGAGCATCGCTGGAGTCAACTGTAGCAACAATTGTGAGGTTGGCCCAGCACTGGGCAGTGTTATGTTCTGTTGTACATAGGGTTGCTGTGAGTCGTAACCAACTTGATGGCACCTGACAACAACACAAATAGCCACTACATTTAGGAAAACTGTTTATGCAGCAACAGGTAACTAATGCAATAAGCTATACATGTTTGCTTAAATGTACAGAAAGAAAAGTTTAAACAAAATGGAAAAGTGCTATCCCTTGGAATCCTGGTATGGTATAGTGCTGGAGGATAAGCACTGAACTGCAAGGTCAGTGGTTCAAACCCATCAGCAGCTCTTCGGAAACCCAATGCAGGGTTGCTATGAGTCTAAACGAAGTGCACAGCACATCCCCACCACCACCACACGTAAATGAGATTTTTCTAAGGTAATTCAGACTAACTTTGCATGAAGTATCATTTTAAAGTAAGCTACAAAACAGGATTTTCCTTCACTCCCTGAAGAACAAGCGTAGCAGTTGAAGAAATCTAAAGATCAATCAAAACCCTGCCTAAGGGAGTCCCAACCAAGACATAGGACAGAAAACACTATCACTGGCATGGTCGCGTTTACCTCTGCGAGTTGGAGAATACGGTCCATTATGGACATCCGTGCTGGGCCAGGCTGAGCAGTGAGGTTCCCATCAAGGCGTGACAGATCGAAAGGGATCAAGCAGGTCACAGAGAGCCATAGTAACAGCATGTAGCGGGTTTCCCAAGTCTAAAATGCCAGGGTTAAATGAATACAAGCAACCAGGTAAGCATTTAAGTATCTTTTGATTCAGTAGGAAATCCTGATTTCCTACTGATTCTTAAAGGGTAACAGCTACATCACTCCCAGTCCTGTCACCCCCAAAACCCCATTGCCACCAAGCTGACTGCCACTCACAGCAACACGCAGGGCCATATGAGGTTTCTAAGGCTGTAAGTCTTTACAGGAACAGACTGCCTCATCTTTCTCCCACAGAGCAGCGGGAGGGTTTCAACCTCCAAACAACACTTAACCCCCGCTTCCACCAGGGCACCTCGAGTCCCACCCCAGACCCTGCAAATGCCAGACCTCAAAGCCCGGATACAGAACTCGGGTCCAGCCCTCTCCACCTTCCTGACAAGTGCACACCCACTGGGTGAACATCCAAGTGAGCAAAGGAGAATCACAAGCTGTCAGGCCAACAGCTTCTCCTCACCGGATCGTCACTGTGCAAGCCACCTCCGAATAAAGAAAAGAAATGCTCAACTTCTGGCCAATAGAAAGGGTGATTACTGTACAGTCAGTGAGAAAGGTTCCGATGTGACTCCGGAATCATCCCACAAGGAAGCCCCTCAAAGTACAAATAAGTGTATCCAACACAGAAAGAAGAAAAACAGAAATTCTCACCCAGTCTCCAATTAAAATCAGGAGATCACACTCACTGAGTTGATTCACTGACTCGTGTGGTTATAAACTGTGTGTCTGTATGTAACTATGTGTAACTATGTAAACTATGTGTATGTATGTACCTGCAGAAGAGGGTCAGCACAGCAGGTCCGAGCCTGTAACACCACAAAGGCCACTGCAAAGATGGCCCTGGGCTGGCTTCTGGGCACCTGGATTTCAGGAGGGCCCCCACCACTTCCCAAGTGACGACAGTGGCTCACTGTGCAAACAAATGGTTTATGCTCAACTGCTGCTTGCCTTCTGGGAGTCTGGAATTCTGGTCCGTACCTGGCAGAGGGGGCCAACACAGTCCCCAGTGAAAGCCCTGGGAACGGAGTCTCTAATGAGTTTCCCTGTAAGCACATCATGGAGGGATTAAAGTGCTCCTGTGTGACTCCACGGGGAGAGGACTCTTGAAGCTAGTGCCCAGTGTTCCCAGGGCACCTGCTCCTACACCACTCTCCTCTCTGCTGATTTGCTCTGTGCCCTTTCACTACAATAAAACCAGGAGCACAACAGTACCAGTCCTGGGCATGCTCCCAGTGAGTCTCCCAACCTGAAGAGGGTCTTGGCATCCCAACACTATTGTCCTTCTGAGGATGGTGACAGTTTATCACCAAACTGTACCAAGGCATTTTTTTCTTTATTAAGGGTTTTTTTAAAAAAAGGAAACAACATGTAAGAAGGAAAGTTTTTCAAAATCTAAAGAGTGAAAGAAATGTGGGGAGTGATCTACAATAATGTACTAAGAGAAACTGAATAGGGAACTGTCCATGAGGGGATGAATGAGCGGAGGGACACTCACCTCATGGTCTCTAGGATTCTGATTTGCAAACATATCTAAAACAGGCTGCACATCAGCTACTTCATGAGGAAACAGACGAAGAAATACTTTATATCCACGAACCTACCAAATACAAAGAAATCAAATTATTATATAGTTATAAAACAACAACAGTAGAAAAATCATCTTTATCCTCTGTACATAAAAAAAACTACCACCTATGCCATCCAAAGAGTGAGCTGATGGCATCATGTCACAACAAAAGAACTCTCCTTGCTCCTTAAGTCGTTCATTAACCATGTCCCAGTCTCACCAAGCTTACATGTAGCTCATCAGAAAGACAATTATGTCATGAGCTAAAAACTGCTGCTACCTGATTTGTAAGATTTTGCCCCAAGGTTCATAAAGAATAATTCCCCAAGAAACCTCAAACTTACCCAATTTCCCTGACACTTCCCCAGCACATCCCCGCTCCATAAAGTCTACCCTTCAGGAGTAACCCTGCCCTCAACACCCGAGCTGGCAAGCAGTGGGTGCCCTGGGCCTCTCCACCAGAGCCCCGAGACGCTTAGGGTCCCTCCCCTGGCCCACAAACCAGCATCCCCTGTGAGCATAGAAGAAATGCAGAGGCTCAGGCCCAACACCAGACCTACTTTAAAAGAGCCCCAGAAATTCACATGCACATTAAAGTTTGAGAACATTTATTTCTACCAAATTTATCTGCTTTCTCCTTGCAAGAAACTTTTCTGAGTTACTCAGCTCACACGAACACATGCTTTCTCTCTCTCTCTGTCTCTGCCTTTGTCTCTCTGTGCCTCTCTCTCCCTATCAGTATGAATGATAAGTCAATCTATTCAAATTCAAGATGCTAAATATCCTAGACATGATTTCAGCCAAAGGACTACCTGGATCACTGAGATTTGGTCCCCAAAACAAGGTAAAAGAAAGAAAGTGGAGCCCACAGCTTGTGTTTGAGAACCATGTGTTCCATAAAACAACATTCTAGAGGATAATTTCTGCGGTGACTATAAAGAGCCATGGGAATGTTACCTTGGTGATAACGTAGAGATATTTAAAAGCCAGATGCACGAGGGTTGGTGGAGATGTCTTATCTTGCACCATGTCCAACAACAAGCTCATCATCCATTCTGGGGGAAAAATAGGTAACAAATATTTGCTATAAATTAGACAAAACATAATAATAAAACAAACTGTATAAACATTTAAAAAGACATATACTGTGCAAACTTAATAGTTGTTGTTAGATGCCATCAAGTTGGTGCCAACTCATAATCACACTATGTACAACAGAACGCAACACTGCCTGGTCCCGGGCCATTCGTACCACTGTTGCTACGTTTAAGGCCATCTTGGTGGGAGTATTCCTCTCCTTCACTAACCCATTCACTTTACCAAGCATGAGGCCCTTTTCCAAGAACTGATCCCTCCTGACAACATGTTCAAAGTACGAGAGATAAAGACTCACCAACCTTGTTTCTAAAGAACATTCTGGCTTTATTTCTTTCAAGACAAATTTGATTGTTCTTCTGGAAATCCACAATACTTTCAATATTCTTTGCCATCACCATAATTCAAATGCATCACTTCTTTTACAGGCTTCCTTATTCACTGCCCAAGTTTCACATGCATGTGAGGCTAGTGAAAATACCATGGCTTAGGTTAGGCCCAGCTTAGTTCTCAAACCAACACCTTTGCTCTTTAACACCTAGTTTGTAGCAGACTTGCTTAATGGCCATACATCCTTTGATTTCTGGGCTACTGCTTCCAGAAGCATTGCGAATGCAAGCAAAATGAAATCTTTGACAACTTCAATCTTTTCTTCATTATGATGTGAAGATTTCTCCTTTCTTTACACTGGGGTGCTATCCATACTGAAGGCTGCAGTCTTTGATCTTTGTCAGTAAGTATTCCAACTCTTCTTCACTTCCAGCAAGCAAGGTTATGTCATCTGTGTATCACAGGTTGTTAATGAATCTTTCGCCAACCCTGATGCCACATTCTTCTTTATAAAATCCACCTTCTGTGAGTAATTGCTCAGTATACAGATTGAAGAAGTATGGTAAAAGATACAAACCTGGCATACACCTTCCCTGATTTTCAACCATTCAATATCCCATTGTTCTGGTCAAACAACTACCTCTTGGTCTTTATACAGGATCCTCATGAGCACAATTTAGAGTCACAGATTACTCAATCTTAGCAACGTTATCTATAGTTTGCTATGATCAACGTAGTCAAATGCCTTTGCATAGTCAATAAAGCACAAATATTGTTCTAGTATTCTCTGCTTTCAGCCAAGATCCATGTGATGTCAGCAATGATATCCCTCGTTCCACATCCTCTTTGAATTTCTGATGGCTCCCTGTCAATGCACTGCTGCAACAGCTTTGAGTTGTCGCCAACAAAATTTTACTTGCTTGTGATATTAATGATATTAATGTGATATTAATGATATTGTTCAGTGACTTCTGTATTCTGTTGGGTCACCTTTCTTTGAACTAGGCACAAATATAGATCTCTTCCAATCAACTGGCATGACAGCTATCTTCCAAATTTCTTGGTACAGACAAGTGAGCCCCTCCAGCACTATGCCAGTTTGTTGTAACCTTTCCATCTGGATTCTGTCTGTTCCTGAAGCCTGGTTTTTCATCAATGCCTTTATTGCCACATTGGACTTCTTCCTTCAGTACCATTGGTTTTTGATCATATGCTACTTCTTGAAATGGTCCAGTGACTCTGTATTCCTTCTCTTTTCTTTTAATGCTTTCTGCATCGTTCAATATTTTGCCCATAGGATTCTTCAATATTGCAAACTGAGACTTGAGTTTTTTTCTTCAGTTCTTTCAGCTTGAGAAATGCTGAGTGTATTCTTCCCTTTAGGTTTTCTAACTCTAGGTCTTTGCACACATCATTGTGATACTGGGCTTTATCTTCTAGAGCTGCCCTTTGAAATTTTCTATCCAGCAATTTTACCTCCTCATTTCTTCCAGTGGCTTTATCTTCCCTACGCTCAAGAGCAAGTTTTGGAGTCTCTTCCGCAATCCACTGTAATCTTTTCTGTCTAGGATGTGGATCTTTATGTATTTCATTTCATCAATGTCCCCAAAGTCATACTTCATAGACGCCACACTCTGATTAGTAATGGATCTCTGCATTTGGAGCTGTGTCTTCCCGTTTTCACTATGTCACAACAGTAAATGAAGGTACCAAAGCTTTGCTCCATTCACATCATTAAGGCCAACTCTACTTTGGAGTCCTAGTGTGGCACTGCAGGATAAGCACTGGACTGCTAACCTCAAGGTCAGCAGTTCAAATCCAACAGCAGCTCCTCAGAAATCTAGACAGGATCGCTGTGTCAGAACCAACTCAATGGCACTTAACAACCACTCCTTTGAGGAGGCAGCTCTTCCCCAGTCATATTTTGAGTTCCTTCCAACCTGAGGGGCTCATCTTCCTTCCGGTACTGTATCTGACAGTGTTCCACTGTTATTCATAAGGTTTTCAGTGATTAAGTAGTTCACCTCTTTCATCCTAGCTTCTCTTATTCTAGAAGCTCCAATGAAACCTGTCCACCCTGAGTGACCCTACTGGGATTTAAAATACCAGTGGCATAGTGTCCAACATCACAGCAACACACAGGTAAATGTATAAACAAAATCACCCTCACCCGAAAACAGCAAAGTACAAACTGAAATCACAGAATGTTCCAATAGGCAGCTCTACATCGATATTAAGAAGTCCTGTTGGCACACTGGGTAAGCACTTAACTGCTAACCAAAAGGTCAGGGGACTGAAACCTACAGGAGAAAGATGTGGCAGTGTGCTTCCAAAAAGATTAAAATCCATTGCTGTCCAGTCAATTCCAGCTCACTGGTAAAAGACACTCTTCTCAACATCCATTTGGCTTATGTATGAACAACCAGGGAGTCCTGGTATGGTGCTGTGGGTTAATGCACCAGACTGCAAAGTCATTTGAATCACAAGGTTGGCAGTTCAAGCTCACCCATAGCTCCTTGGAAACCGTATGGAGGGTTGCTATGGGTTGGAATCAACTCAACAGCACTTAACAACGACATGAACAACCAGAGACTACCAGGCAACTGGGGAGAACCAGCCACGTGAAAGACAAAGGCCAAGAGAAAAGCTGACCCCAGAGAGAAGAGGGCTCTTGGCATGAATGGGAGATGGCACCCGCACTCCAAGGTTCAGGACAGGGACAGTGAAGAGAGGCCACAAGGCCGACTGACCACCAAGGAAACAGTAATCACAGAGTAAAAGGATATAAGCCACAACGAAAAAGAGGAGAGGAGCCAGGCAGTGCAGAAATGCCAGCCATGACTTGGCAGCTGGAGGCAAGTGAGATGCCGCCCCAAGATCAGAGGTGCCAGTGAAGCACACTGCTTAAAACAACCCTTTTTCTTTCTTGCCAGCCACTGCTGGGAGAACTCGTTTTTCCTTTGCAAATAAAAATCCTCAAAGCTGCACCTAGCCAGAATACGTCTTTGTGCAACGAAAAGGCCAACACACACACACACACACACACACACACACACACACAGTACATAAGCCAGTGGGTAACTCCTCGCTCCAAGCGCAGACTGCAGGAAAACCACATGGCTCCAGTGAGAACATGTAGTAAACCACACTGATGAATACACCATGTCTGTTGGAAACAACATGTCTGGAGCGGTCAGCTCAACCTGAGATAAATGGAGCCATAAAGAAGTTCCTGATATTCCTCGGACCCCACGCCCAAGATCCCTATGGTTCCCTCTTCCTGTCCCCATGGGGAAGAAGAATCTTTAGCGGTCAGGTAGCCCTCGGCCTCCGGTACACTAGTATACATTGAACCTGGCTGGCTTTGTCACACCCCTGTCTACGCACAACAGGTAACACAAGCCCTCATTTGACGGTAACACCAGTATCGCCGGATGCCAGGTACAGGGCCTAGAAACAGCAGGAAGGCCCAGGGTCTCCCAGACAACTGTCCCTCCACATCCTGGAAATGAATGAGTCAAGGATGTCCTCACTCGCCGCCCCTCCACATTATGACAAAAAGCTGGCGGTTTACTTTAATGGCCAACACCACTGTGAGCCCCACGTGGCTTTTAAATTGAAATCTAATTAATTCCCAGTCCAGCTCCTCAGTCACACTGGTCATATAACAAGTACTCAACAGCCACATGTGGCTTGGACAGTTCTGACCTAGACCATCCCACCATCGCACAAAGTTCTACTGGACAGGGCACGACTGAGAGGCTCAGGACAGTCGAACACAGTTGCACATGGCTTCACTCACTGGGGCAGAGGAGGTCTGAACAATAGCCCATTGCCCCTGGCCCCAGAGCCTGGGAGCCAAAAACCCTGAACAACTGATCGGGGGTACTACTGTTGCTATTGTTGTTGTTGTTAGGTGCCATCGAGTCAGTACCAACTCATAGCAACCCTATGCACAATAGAACGAAACACTGCCCAATCATGGGGCAACCTCAAAATTGTTGCCATGCTTGAGCCCATTGATGCTGCCTGCCATTTTACCAATCCATCTCATTGGGGGTCTTCCTCTTTTTCTCTGACCCTCCACCTTACCAAAAATGATATCCTTCTCCAGTGACTA